ACACTTTGGGGTCGTGGGACCAGTGTTTATCTGAAAAAAGGAAATCCTAGAGAAAAAACCAATTCATTTTTTTCCCCAACTCTATATAATCAGGGAGGTTAACACGTCCGCCTGGCAATATTTGTCCCGACATTTATCAAATTCCGGATTTCTTTTAATAATCAATAATTAACTTCAATGTATAATAAGCAACGATTTTTCGTCATTCGAAACTGTGCTTGTACAGCAGCTTATCTGAAAAAAATTTTGGTATGTATCAATAATTATAATTTTTTTGGTACATCAAACTTTACTCAAAAGAATTTTTTTTATTATATGTACTAATTTGAAAATATTTTCAAAAGTGTACTATTAAAAGAAATATATATGTGTTATCCTATTATATGTTATCTTGTTAAGTTTTATTATATAGTATTTTTTTTTCCTCAATTAAGACATTAAAATACAACAACAAAAAAATCTTTTATAATTTCAAAAGTGTCCCTTCAAAAATCATTTTTAGTTCTTTTAAATCTTTCTTATCTCAGTTGACCAGTATTTTTTAAGATTGCGCACTTTTATTAAAAATGTCCTCTTTTATTATAGAAATCACTTTCAATCAATATTTATTTCTTTGAAAAGTCCTTATATTAATTGCATGGTGACCGTTTCCGAGATACGATTTACAAAACATTACTTAGACTACATATAAGCGACTTTTAAATTAGCATTATTTTCTTCTGATAATGTAATACACGATCGATTGCTTTCTTCTCAATTAAATTCTGTTAAAAATCAATAATCAAAAACAAAACAACAAACAATAGATAACAAAATCAATTAACGTTTTATTAGAGTAATTTTTTTGTAAAAGGTTTTGTTTCTATTATAAATTTTTGCCGGGGAAAATCTGATCGGTTCTGATATTTCTAGACTAAAAATTTCATTCAACAGTAGTGTAGTACACCATATGGTGTTCCGCCGGACCCTGGAGTTCCGTGAAAAGGGTCACAAGTGTTTCGAAAGTTGAAATTTTTGAAATCGTAATGATTTTTGAAACTTGTTATTATCTTTATATCAAAGCAATAAACCATAATTTCTTTAATAGTTTGGTTATTTTTATGAAAATATTAAAATAAAATGCCAGTAGAAAAAGAAATCGCAAAATTTATTTAAAAAATTACATCAGTTTTTCTCGTGGAACTTTTCAATTCAAAACAAATTGCGTTAAATCAAGGATAACGAATAATGTTCTTTGATAACTAATCTGAAAAATTATAAAAGTTATTTTTTGAAAACTATAATTCGGCTTATTTTATTCATTTTCAACTAATGTATGCACCAAAAACAAATTCAGAACTAAACTAGATATCACTCCAAGCCTACGAATTCAACTCAGTCACAATATTTTAAGAGTTTTATTGATAATACCATCATTGAAAAATGTTTTATTTTTCTCTTTAAATATTATCAAAATAATTAAGTCTTTTTTTCTGCTAAATATGTTCACGGCTGCTTATAAATTTTATTTATATATTTGGGGTTCCTCCAAAAGATGCTAGTTCATTAAGGGTTCCGTAGTTGTAAAAAATTAGGAAACGTTCGTCTAGTACAGTGTTTCCCAAACTTATGACTTTTGCGTACCCTTTCTAAAATTTTCGGAACGCTGTGTACCACTTATAAAAAAATAAATGTATTTCTTACTATGAAAAAATTGCACAAAAGTTAAAAATCACAACTGGCTGTTGANTAAAAACTCTAAGAGCTTTATTGATAGAACGATTATTGAAAAAGTATTCATTCTTCTCATTAAATATTATCAAAATAATTAAGTCTTTTTTTCTGCTAAATATGTTCACGGCTGCTTATAAATTTTATTTACATATTTAGGGTTTAGTTCATTAAGGGTTCCGTAGTTGTAAAAAATTAGGAAACGTTCGTCTAGTAATATCTCACCACTTCAGTTTCTTAAGATTATTGATTTAATTGATTCTGAAGATCAATTATCTTCGGTCGTATTTGGGCTGTAATGTTGCATTATAGGGTCCGAAAACCATTCCATGTTATGAGATCTCGTACCATAAAACTGATAACTATAATAATAAAGTAAAAATATCAGACCAAAAGGGATTAAAGAGCGCGAGGCTAAGAAGGAGAAAAATAACATTAACTTTTTATCAGACCTAAAACGAATTATGATTGAACATAGCCAACGTTTTTATTTATTTATTTTATTTCCAAGTACAACTAAAATAAAACTATTTTCTAGATTTTAGTCTTCATTAAAAACATAATTTCTAAATTTTTTATTTAATTTTATCCTTTTTAGATATTATTTTATTCTTTAAGATAAAATGTGTGACGGTATATTTTGCTCACTCTATTTCAGAAGCATTTTTAACTTACATTAGCATCTTGGCACAGAACTCTAGTTAAAAATGTGAGCACCTTAGTTAGTCGGAAAGTGGTCAAATTTTAGCTATAATCTAAATTATGGCCGATCAAAATTTTATTTTAAACCGTTTGTGGATAATATGACGATATATTTAGCTGGGAACTATCATGAAGCAATTTTGACATGCATAAGCATTAAACACAGAGCTCCGGCGGAAATTTAAGCACGCTAGCTAGTCCGAAAGTGGTTGAAACATTTAATGACTATATATTCCCTTTGATATCATAATATGGCGATAAATTCTAATTGTAGAGGCTAAGAAACAGTTGTAAATCGTATTTTCCTCCGGCACAGAAAGTTTGAGTTCTCTAGCTAGTTGGCAAGTTGTCGGTGTTTTTATCGCCATTAATAAATAAAAAGAATTATTAAAATTTCTGGAGTATCGCATACAAAGATGCGATCTTCATCGATCGAAAAACGCAATTCAAATGCTCTAAGATTATCCCCAATATTATTATGTAACAGGGGTTTCCAACTTACGTGAGGGCGGGGGCCGCAATTAAAAACACAAGTCAAATGGCAGGTCACAATTTTATCAAAACTTTATATAGAACTTTTTTATGTTTGAAGGAACATTAAATATTACAGTCAGATTTTTATTAAGTTGTAAAAAACAAAAGTATTGAATTGCAAATTAAAATCAGAAGTAGATTTTTAAAAATATTTAAATGCCTATTTTAAAATTCTAGCTACAATAACTTTAATGTGCACTCTATGTATTAAACAATTAATGTGCAAAAGATATCAAATTATTAAGATATAAAACTTAAAATTATTTAGATTTTAAGTTTTATATCTTAATAATTTGATATCTTGTCCATCAAACAACTTTCCCCTTGCGAACGTTTAGTTCGCGGGCCGCCAGTTGGTAACCACTGTTATATAATGACCAAATTTTCTTTCTTCATTTTCCATAAAATTTCGTTATGCCTTAAAAATTGGGCATCGAGTTTTTAACAAAACATCTTTTCAAATTTTTAAAGCTTATACAGTCGGTGAAAAAAAAATCTTCAGCTCATTTTGAATTGAATGACAATACCATATTAAAACAACTTGCGGAAAGAAAGAAGACTTGAAAGGTAGACCATGTTCCAAATGTGCTGCATTGCATGATTGTAAATTGCGCTTTTTAGTCAGTTTCATGTCAGTCAGAAAAAAAAAAATAGTTGTGCACTCAGAAAAAAAGAACTTAAGTTCAAATAGTCAGATTATTACAAACAAAGCAATGGATCAAAAGACACTCCTCAACCACCAAACTAGTAGCGGCAATCTACCATATTTTTAGGGTCAAAAACCGTTGAAAGAGAAAAAATATTTACATTTTTCTGCCATTCTTAAGTTTTATAAGTGTTCTTTTTGTTTTTTTTTTTCTTCTTTTCGACTATAGGGTAAGAGAAGGCCTATTAATTGGATTGGTCACGCTTGCAAACTTAGTAAATATTTTTTATTCTCCTACTAATTAAAGGAAAAGAGAAAAAAGAAATTCTAGTATAGTTAGTATAATGTAAACTTTTCTCATAATTATTACATTATGTTATGAATTTATACAATTGCTTTACGTTAGATTTAATTGCAATTGTTTTGGAAGAACAAAGAGTGAAAACGTTGAAACCAACCCAAATCTTACACATTTCTTAAATTAATAATTTTATTTTGCTAATAGTCCCCAAAACAACTCTGACCTTGCTTAGCAGCTGATCCGCGCAACTGCATATCGATCTCTCCCTGGCTGAAGAAAGAGAGTGTTGTGAGTCGCTCCCACAAGTATACTGCCTTGATAAACAAAGGCTCTTTTGTGACCCCTTTTTTTTCCCGTGGATTCAATATGCTCAATTTTTTGGAGTGTCTGCCGCAATCATATCAAATAAAAAAGAATCGTACGAACTAGGTAAAGGTTCCTTTTATCTGTTTTAGCTCCTGCAACTAACTATCATTGTTTTTGTTTTCGATTATATTCTACTTGTTCATTTTGAATAAAATATTTTAATTTCATATCCAATGTTCTGGAGCTTTCCCTATTACAAATGGAAGAGATTGCTGTTTATGATGAACGTCTTGACTTAAGAAATAGATTTAACTTCATTAAACGAACATCGAAAGAAAAAAAAAATCTTAATACTTTTATAAATATTCCTAAAATAATTTATTTATTATTCAATGGCCTAAAAAAATTTTTATTTAGTAATATTATTATTATAACTATTATTAGTAATATAACTATTATTTAGTTATATTATAACTTATTATTAAGAATAATTTTTTTTTTTAATACTGTATAAGAGTTAAGTGTTTTTAAAATTGTTTATGTTTTTATAATATAAAGATTTAGAAATCCGAAGCTGGAGTTAATCAATTTAGCAAATGAAATATCCATAAAAAATAGCTGGTATGCTTTTTTTCTTATCTTTTTCTTCTAAATGTTTACGATATATTTTTAATTCAGTTTTAAATAAATTTTTCTTTTTTTTTTTTTTAATCAAGGTCAGTTATATTCTGTAGTCTGTTATTTTTTTTTAAACTTAGCTTAAAAACATTTATTTAATGTTTACTTTTTTTTAATTTTTAGACGAGCTATCCAAGAAGCTTTAAATAGGCAAACATTTCAACAATTCAAAGCATATGCTGAGAAACAATTCCCTGGTGATCCAGAACAAGTAATATTTTATTTTTACTTCTTTGTTCTTTATGCTTAATTTGACTTTTTTTTCTTCTTTTATTTCTATGATAGCTGTACAAGTAAATAAAAAATAGTGTTTTCCTGCTTTTCCTATTACTATCTTTCTCATTTTTGTACTTATTTGCTCATAAATAAATTTTAAAGAGGAATTTGAGTTACATGTTGATTATTATGTGTCTATTATTTAAATATTTTCTTTTTTTTTTGAGGCATTGATGATGCAATAAAATTATTTTACTAAGCAAATTTAAATTATTTTTAAAAAAGTATTTTCTTTGAATGGAAGTTCAGGTTAATTTTAAATGCACAGATGTAGGATATAAATTATAATTTTAAATGTAATTCCTAACCCTTTGACACTAAATTTTTATTAAACATATTTTTTCATACTTTTTTCCTTATTTGGTATTAATTTAGGTCAATGTGAAAAAAGTATATTTCGCAATGATTTATGGCTATGAAATGTAGGCTCATTTAACCAAAAAATATTTTCTTTTATATTTGCACTTATTTGAAGATATTTAGATGATAAGAGAAACAGTTATTCATAATTGAAACGTCTTAACTTTACAAAATCAATTATTTATAATTTTTTGAATGTGAATGAAACAATTTTTTTTCAAGCTTCTTCTTTTTTGTTTTATTGATAATCTAACAGATTTTTTTAGTTAACTAGTAGACTGTTTTTTATAATTAAAAAATACCCAAATACATTTTTACTTGTAATTCGAGTGACAGAAATATATATATAAAAGAGACACCTTTGTCCCGTTTGCATCAAAGGGTTAATGGGGAGGGGGAAATGTTTGGGCAATCTTTCCTATACAGTTTTTGGATTCTTTATTTGTATTGTGTGCTTATTCTAGCAAGCTGTTTTAGTGAGACAACTGCAAGAGCAGCACTACCAACAATACATGCAGCAAGTACTTCAAGAACAACTTTCCCCACCTGTATTAAGTCACAAGAGTGAGGTAAAAATGACACAGGTGCCACAAGACAATGGACTGCAGCCAACAAGAGAAAGTTCACCAGAACCTTCAGAGGATGAAATAGCAGGTTGGTCATTATTTCACTAAGAATATTTTAAAATGTATTTGTTTATCTTTTCCTATTGTATGAAAATTTTAGTTCAATTCTTTGGATCTAATAAGCTCATGAGTAAGTTAGTGATGCAAACTTTTCTTCACATACTTGATCTAACTTTAATAACCGTTCAAGAAAACAATACATTGGTAAAAATTACATTGAAACTAAATCTTTCTTATTTTTTGATGAATAAAAAATAAAACCAACACTTATAGTAGAAAGCATGCAATATTTTACAAAGAATAAATTCCTCATTTGTTAATATTTTTCTTGTTTTGCATATTTCTTGCTAAACTTAATTATAAAGTCTGGACAAATGAGGCTATTAACATAAGCCTCATCCGTTGGAAATCCTGCATTTAGCTTAGACTTTATAGTATCTTTTTAAATAAATAATTGTGCATTATTTTATTATTTAAGGATATGAATTCATAATTTACATTTTCTTTGATTTCTATAAACATAGCATGATAATTTGTTTCCCTATGATTACATGCTTTACTTATAACATTTGTAGATAGTATTGTTAATTATTATCTGCAGGAAAACTGAACTTTTTATTATGCTATGTAGAGAACTCCATAATATTTAATTATATTATATAGAAAGGTATATTGTTGGGAAAATATGCAATTTTTATTATTATTATTAACAATAGCATAACTCAAAATATACTATTTTTATTACCATACTTCTAAAATATTTTTTTAAATACTACTAGATGGTTCAATTGTTGTATGTCACATGATCAAATTTTGCATGTTGTCATAAAAACCCCTCCAAAATTATACATTGCTTGATTAATGAGCTTTTGTACAGTAAATAGGATGTAGTTTTAAAAGCAATTTCATTATTGATTTTTTTTTGTAATTTAATCATTTAGAGAAAAATAAATTATATATATAATAAATCAGAAGATAACCCCCTGAAAACATGCATCAAAACTATGCCACTGGTTGTGTGCAGCATTATTTGAGTTAGTGCACACTTATTGTGCATGGCGACACAACTGCACTAGGGTAACATTAGCAGCAATTTAAAAAAGAAATTCTACATAAGATTTTAATTTTTTTTTAAAAACTTTTGTAAAAGAATTTTTATACTATTTCATGACCTTAGAAAAAATTTATTATTTCATTACTAAAAGCTATCTGTACATACATGCCCAGAAGCAGAAAGTGCCTAAAACTGTGAAGTACGCTGCAAAACAAACGAAGTCCTGAAGAACAATTTGTATCTTGAATAAGTGACAGCGTTTTCCTGCGAGCCCGCCCACAGACCACCGAACGTTTGTGTTTGCAAATGGTGCACCACCTGGGCACTTGTCCCTTCGAAAGATCTTTAAGGCAGTCGTTATTTTAATGTTCCGAACTTCATATCATAGGCATTTTATTAATAACTCATCATTGTCATTAACAAAATTTTGTACTTCAAAAATAATTGATAAAGTACCAAATGAAGAATGTTTGCCTTGGTTTAAAAAATATTGTAGTTTATCTGTTTTTGATCTTGTATTTTAATAAGTGAAAATATAGTATTTTAACGTAAAGTTTAATTTTTTTTTCGCTGTGAAATGCTTGCAGAACATTTGTATAAATTAATAAGTCCTGTTGCAGAACATTTGAAAATATTCTGCTTATGGGCATTCAGGATTGTTTGCTTATTAAAAGTCGTATAAATTACCTAATTCTATACAAGAACTGAAGTGTGTTTATAAAATGTTTGTATTTAATTTACTTCAGATCCTCTACCGGTTGCTGCGGCTCATATGTGGACTAGAAAAGACATAACACAGTTCAAAGAAGCCATTCGTAAAGAAGGTGGTGATGGTATCATTAAAGTTGGCCACGGTGAGACAGTTACTGTTAGAGTTCCTACCCACGATGATGGTTCATGCCTATTTTGGGAATTTGCAACTGACAGCTTTGATTTAGGATTTGGTGTTTATTTTGAATGGACCAGGAGTCCAGATGCCCAAGTTACGGTTCATATAAGTGAGAGTGAAGATGAAGAGGATGATGATGATGGTATGTTTTTTTTTTTTTTAATTTTTATATACATATTTTTATATGCATTTTTGTTCTGCAACTAAGCAGTCTGTAATAAAGCATATCGAAATAATTTTAATAATTTTGTATATTTTTTTTCTATTGTGTTCTCTATATGATTTAAAGATAAGAGCTGCTACCATTTATCCAAGTTTAGGAATTAAGTTCATTTTGATCGTCTCACTATTGTTCGATTAAATTTAGCTTAAATACAGTTATTCACAAGTCATGTAAGTATATCATAATACTAAAACTAGATAACTCACATTTTTCCATTTTGTGTTTTTTTATTTTTTTATAATTAAGCAATATGAAAACTATTATTAACCATATATGTGACGCCTGGACGTAGGTATTAGAATTAAACAACATGGTAAAAGAAAATATTTTTTTTTTAAATTCAAAACTTGTTTTTTAGTTACTAGTTTTAGTACTTTACCCACACTCCTTTTTACATTTAAAATATTTTACTTACAAAACAGCAATACATTAAGAACTGTAATGTTAAGAAATATAATTAAAAAATATTAAAAGAAAGTTGTTGTGTTCATTATCTCTCTGTTTCTTTTCTAGAGCTAGAGCAAGTTCGAAGTGATATAGAAAAAGGTGTGACTTTACAAGACAAACCCCCGCTTAGTGTGATAATACCAGTGTATCGAAGGGACTGCCATGAAGAAGTATATGCTGGAAGCCATAACTATCCAGGTCAAGGTGTCTATCTTTTAAAATTTGATAATTCGTATTCTCTATGGAGATCAAAAACCTTATATTATAGAGTTTACTATACCCGATGAAACATACTTGCCTAATTGATGTTTAGTTTCATCATCAGAGCATCTCACTTTTACTTGTTGCTGAATGGTGATTGAAGCATTTCTTTGTTGCACTGTAAGATATTTTATCTTTATAAAAAGCTTTATATCAAATAAGTTTGCATAGTTTGGAAATAATAGACTTATTAATCATGAAATATTTCTGTGTGTTTAATATTTTTTAAGCTTTAAACAAAATAACGTAATTTATGGATGAATTACCTAAATAGATCAGATATTTTTAAAATACTACTGATTTGTGTTATAAAAGCTTACTTAGAATATTTAAAACTAAGTCTCGATTTATTGTAATTCTCAAATATTTCAAATTGTTTTATTCATTTTAAGTTTATGAAAAATTTGTTTCTTTTCAGATAAACTAATTACTTTTTAAATACTCTATACTAAATATTAATATGTAAGCCTTAAATAATTTAGAGATTTTAAATGAATAGAAAATTTGTAATTTATGTCTATTCTTTTTTCCCCCTCTAATATCATAGAACTAAGAATATTCAAGACAAAATATATTTTTTTATTTTTGTGAACCTTATATATATAATTCCTTTTCAGCAAAACAAAATATTTATTTTTTGTTTAAAATACCTTAAGTGCAAAATCAATCTGAACAAAAAAGCCTACTTAGCATTAATATTATTCATCATTTTATAGCCTAAATATTTCAAATTTGTGTAGATTTGTAACAGTGTTTCTTGAGTATAATGTTTACTACTTTCTACTAATGTTATACTATGCCACTTGGTAAAAAAATAAAAATATTTTAAACATAGGTATTCAGTACTTATTTTTTATAAAAGGATGCTTAATTTAAATGTACAAAGTCTTTAAAAAATTCAATTTTTTTAAAGATGTTATAACTAAACTAATAATTATTTATTTACTATAGTTACCTTAAATTCCAGTCCAAGATTTTATTTTTTGTAGTTTTAATACTCCTGAAGAATTTAAAAATGCATACGCTACAGTTTGCTTACTTTTATTTACTCTCTTGTTCTTTTTTTTCCCTCCAATTTCTGTTGATACAACAATGAATATTTAGCTAAAATGAAATATATAATCTAATAAGTTTGAGACAAGCAGTTGTTTGACTTTTTGTTCAAATATATTTTTGGTATTACTTTCTTTTTATTAAAAATTAAGTTCTACATGCTTCTAAGTGCAATCTGAAAAATCTTAATGGTATTTTTATTGGTTACACCAAAGAATGAATATTAATATTCATTTTTGTATTTTTATTATAGTAAATTCTTTATTTCAGAGTAAAATTGTAAATCCTAACATTTTAGTTCATAGTCATAGTGTGCGATATTTTGCAATAGTGATTGTATAATTTTGTATATATGTCTACTTTAAATCCAAGTAAATCATTTTTTATAACAAAAAAATTATACATACAGAATTGTTTCAGCTATAACCTTGTTTTGTTTGCGTTGATTTATTTGGCATATAATTATACCTTACATTTGTGTTAAAACATATTTTAGTTTACATTTTGTTAAGTTTGTTATTAGTTTAATGCATTAATGTGTTTACATGTATTATAATTCTTAAAAAAAGGTGTGGCATTAATGTTATTTTTCCCCTTTGGAAGCATAAAATATGTTGTGGACAGTATTTGAACTACTATTTCTTTATATGACATTTGTGATGGAAAAAAAATGCAACAACTTTTTCAGCAAAATCTAATATTACATCTTGTACATGTTATCATTGTTTAAATTTTTTTTTGTATTTATTAAAAGATGTCAAATATTGATGTGCTATTTGTAATTATTAAATATTGTTCCGAGAATTTTTTTTTTTTAAATTTAATAAATAAAATCGAATTGGCACTACAAATGCAAAAATAATAAATATTTATTTTAAGTCTATATACCTTATGTATTACTATCTGTGTGAAAACATATGCCCTTAATAAATTTGTACCTAATATTTGCCTGTTATAAAAAACAACTCCAATACATATGTAAAAAATGAAGGAATATTATCTTTGGTTTAAAAAAAAATGCACAAGTAAGGAATTTTTGTTTCATGTAATTTTGTGTCATCTTTGTCTGCTGTGCAGATGAAGAACAATTGGTTAAGCTGATTCTTTTTAAAAAGAATAAAAGTATCATTTATATATTCTTGTTTATTTTACTGTTTGTGAATTAAAGGAGTTACTGTATAGAGAAGATTTAAGAAATGAGTTTTAGTTTAAGTGGTATTCTTGCACATTTCTATTATACAAGTCAAAACCTAGTTTCAACAAATAGTGTTAAAGGTGAAAAGTTAATTTATCACTTTAGGCAAAAGTGAAATTTATTAAAATAAAGATTTTGCAACATTTTAATGTTTTTCTAATTAAATAAAAAAAAAATCTCATCAAAATTGGTATAAATATTGGAAACTCAACTTACAAATTTCCAGGGAGAATTAAGCTACTTTTCGCTTGTAAATTTTCCAAGATATATAACATTTTAAAGAAACCATTAAAAGGATAGCTATTATAAAGAGACATTATTTTAAATTGTTATTTATTCAAAACTGTTAGAATAGAAAAAAAAAGAAAATATAAAATATGCTAAGAGTTCAAACTAGGTATTAAAATTGTTGTCAGTCTTAATTATAATAAAACTACCACAAAAACTAAATCTTCTATCATTAATTTTTTTAAGTATAAGATTAGAGTAATAATAAAATCAAATGACAGTTTCATTTTATTAATGAAAAAATAATAATGATGCATGATTTTTATAAAGTGAAATAATTTAAAGTTAATAAAAAAAAATGGTACATCAAGGTTTTGGCATAATTCGTTCAACCGCTCCTGTACACTCATCTCCATCAAAGAATAGGAAATTGCACAAAGGCTCACCTTGTTTTGAAATACCCTGCAAAATATTATATTTAACATTCATATTCTATTGCACCGTATGAAAAACTAAAATATGCATAAAATTCATATACCTTAATAATTTCATTAGCTAAAATGCCTCCAACAGCTGCACATATGGGAGCCAGTTCTCCAAATACACAACTAAATTTTGAAGTGTAAAAATATTTATGAGATTCATATTATACTCTAAGATGCATTCTATTTTATTTATAACAAAAATATAGTCCTATCACATGAAAATAAAAATTCAAAGTAAAACAAGATTTGAATCCAGAAATGGAAATGTATACAAATAATAGTAAAAAGTTTTTAATGTCTTAGTTCAGTGATTCTCAACCACTGTGCCGTGGCACTTTTGTGTGCCGCCAAATTTTTAAAATGTGCCGCCAAATATTAGAAATGATACAATAGAAATTATAATGCTTTTTTTATTATGAATAAAGTTTAAATTAAAGAACAGTGTATATATACTTTTAATAATTTTTCCAAGCTTTAACCGCTTGAACATCTTTGTCGGCGATTGTATTGTCTCTGATCAATCTTAAAATAAGATGGAAGTGTTTAAATTGTATATGACACACAATTTTAAAAAATGTTGCAAGAGCTAATCGTTAAAATAAGCTATGCAAATAATAAACAAATTAACAAGGGATAACTAAAAAAACAAATACATAAAAAACAAATTAACAAAGGATAACTAACAAAAATTAAGCTAACAATTAATAATTAGCAAAAAAACTAGTTAACAAGAAATCACAAAAAAACTAACAGTTAATAACTATAGCAAAAAAGCTAACAATTGAAAACTAGCAAAAAAATGAATAACTGCTACTAACTAATAAAAAATTGGTCGAAAGAAATAATTAATCCCTTAATAAATGTGCTTTTGTAGTACATATTATTTTATTTCACATTCAAAATTGTTATCACAAACTATTTAACACAGTGTAAAATAGGTAATTAAACAACTTTTAATCTAATTTTTTTCTTTGTGTGCCGTCAAATTTCGAAATCGTTAAAAGTGTGCAGCAACAAAAAAAAGGTTGAGAATCACTGTCTTCGTTAAATGTTTATAACAATCATAAATATTTAATTTTCAGATAGATGTTCAAGAAATTACAAGCTCTGAAAACTAATTTAACTAATATAAAATCTATCAGAACATTAAATATACAAAAAAAAGTTTATGGCATTTAAACTTTAGAAAGTTTACAGGGTTGTGTTGCACAAAACTCAAACAATTTTCAATCAAATATCTTTCCATTCAATAGGAGTTTAAATTCTATTCACAGTGAACAGAAATCATAGTCTGAAAGGTTAAAAATAAACAGTTTTCAGAATTAAAGGCCTTTTTTTTAAAAACCTATTTTAGGAATTTTCTGAGAATTCGTCAAACATTGGTGCTTACAAAAGGATATATAAAATTTTCAATACAGAAAAATTAAATAAAAGTTCTTAAAATATAAAAATTAAATAAGAAAACAGTCCGAAAATGCATGCAAAAAATATTTAGTCTTGTTTAATTATAGAATAACATTTAAAATTGGTAGAAAAATAATGGAAAAGTATTAAAAGAAATAAAAATGAATTTGCTTATTATTTACAAAAGGAAATTTAGAACTACAAAAAATTAAATTTTAATAACCTTAAAGGATTGAATGTATACACACATATATATACATTTTTATAAAATGACTTTAACATTTACAATTAAAAAGCTACTTACCTTAATAATGAATCTGGAATTTTATCAGCATCACAATTTAAATTACGTACACATTCATCTCTATACTCTCTCAGTAAATTTAAGTCTTCTTCACGAGATAAAGGAGATGGAAATCTTTGATTTACATCAAAGAAATGATTTATCACTAGAGGGAGGAAACATAAAAATTATAATAAAAATGAATTTTCACAAATTAAATGAACATAGGAAATTTAGATCTAACAATAAAAATATTCATGAATATTCTGCATGAATTATTGATTATCATTCAATATTAAGTTAAATATAATTAAATATAGAAAAACTACAGATTATACCTAACTAAAATATAATTTTAAATAAATTTCCTTAAACTGAGATAATTGAAAATCAAAAACTTTTTTTAATGCACAAGTTTTTATTTAATAAATAATTATTTAAAATAAAGCTTTATATTGTTTAAAGTTTAACAACACGAATATGACAACAGCGTGAATAAAAATAAACATGTAACAACAACATGAATGAAAATGAACTTGCGCATTATCCCATTGACAATTTTCGCCAACACTGCACCATAGTCATTTTGGTAGCTTTCAAATTTGTTCTAATTTAGCTATTGATTATAAAAATTCACAAAATACGAATATAACTTATTGCAAAAAATGAGATTATAATATAAACCGTTTCCAAATTTATTTTCAGATATGTTGAAAATGGATGATGGAATAATACGCAAGTACCAATAAAATGTTATGATGAACTGAATTATCAGGTCATATTAATTTTACTGGTATTTTATTTGTAATTATTTAAGATAACACTTTCAATCTATTTTTGACTGCCAAAAGGTTCTTGTCACAGGTTCATCATTTAAAGAATGAAAATCAATTAATTTTTAATAGCAGTATTATCTATTTAATTTTATCATAGTTAAGCAAAATATCTTAGTTTTAAATTTTTTTTAATACTTCCATTGAGGTTAAAACAAAACTTCACTAACTAGAACTAACACTTTTTACTAAGAAGAAAGATATTCTACTTTTGCATTACTACTTCAAGCAATAGATTGAAAATAAGCTCAATAACTAAAATTTAGCTCAGTGCTCAATGAACATGGCAAAAAGGTATCTAATCTTGAGGCTTTTTTTTTTTAACATTTTAGACATTGATTATAACAATATAATTTTATTTAGAAAAAAAAAACATAGGCAAACAGAAGTTCTCCAATTAATCCTAAAAAGTAACCACTCAAACTTTCCACATGTTAAATGATTTAAGATATTATCTGACAATATTGAGTATACTTTCTAAAGTGAGTACAAAAAGAGTTTTAAAAGAATTAAAAACTGGATTTTTTTCTAAAATGTAAACAAAAATATTTGAAAATATTGAAGCATTTGCTTACAACCAAATTAGTATTTCTTAAATTATTTTATTCATAGAAATTAAATTCTTAAAAACATGTTTCTATAAAACTAAGTAATTAAATATAACAGTGATTGAAATGAAAAAAAAAATTGGTATACATTGAAAGAGAAAATTAATGGGAAAGTGGTACTAATTCCTTTAGAAGAATCGTAAAAATCGCCATACTCTATTATTCACACCAATAATGCTTCATTAATTTAAGTAATAGATGCATACTGAAATAAAAGAAATAAGCTATGAATTAAAAAACTAAGTTAATGGAGAAAAGATAATTATTCATTATGGAAAACCGTAAAAAAACACATTATTGACATAGGTGCTTATTAATACTAATAATCTGAATTAATTGAAATAAAAAATAAGCTATGCAATAAAAAGTAAAGTTAATGGAGAAAAGATACTTATTCATCTTGGAGAATCTTAAAAAATCTCCATACACAAATGAGGCTTAATTAATTTTGGTAATATGTACTACTGATATTATAGTAATTGGTGTAATTTTAATAAGAATTCTACAAAAAAAATTTAAGTAGCTTCCGAAAATATTTTTTCCAGTCGTAGCAAAGATAGTATATTAATATAAATTTAAAAAATTCTACCATTACTTAAAACTATTTTAAACAGTATATTAAAATTAAACAGAGAGATGACTCTTAAGTCCTTATCGAATTCTTATAAGAATTCTATTCGTTTCTAAAATTTCAGCATTAGGTAGCTATTACTGATAAAAATATTTCACAAAAAAATTCAAATGTTGAAGGTTATGTAATCAGTACCAAAAATATACCAATATAGATACAAAGTATTATGACACAGTAATTAGTAAAACTGCACCAATCGTGAGCAGTTTCAAGACAAATAATGTGGAATTAGAATGTATTATGGCAATAATGTGGAATTAGAATGTATTATGGCAATAATGTGGAATTAGAATGTATTAGGAGTATTACGGCCCCAGGAAAGAGATAAATATAGAAGAAAATAACTGGATTTAGGTAAATTTTGACGATTATGAGTAAACCATGAAGAATAGCATCATGGCAAGTGATAATGAATACAATTAATCTTGATTCTGATGGAATGAACTGGGTGTAAAGGCACCAGGAAAGGCAAACAATAATAATAAATAATTGTAATTATATTTATTTTTATTATTTTTGTCAGTATATATCTTTCAGTTTTGTCCATGGTTTGGAAATATTAAATATTGATTATTTTCCTTTTAAATTCTCCCCATATGAAGAACAGGTATTTAGCTAGTTATATATAAAAAGCACTACATGAACATGAATAGTACAATTTGATGAAGTAAAAGTTAACACATCAAAATACTTAGCTAGTTATATATAAAAAGTACTGCATGGACATGAATAGTACAATTTGATAAAGTAAAAGTTAACTCATCAAAACGTCAATGATTGATGTTAATCCAAAAATATAAACTAAAAGTGATAATTAAAATTTTACTTTTAAGAGCAAGCTTGTTTTTTTTTTTTTATTATTATTAAGAAAAACACTAATACATTACTTCTTTTATATTAAAATAAACTTAACAAATGTTTGAGTTTAAATTTTATGTAGCAATTAAATTAAAACTAAAAATATAGGCAAAACTAAAAACAAAATTTTACTTACAATGAAATAAAACAAAAATCTTGCTGGTTCTTTTACCTAATCCTGAACCAAATTTAAGGGTGAGAGTAGAATCAAGAGTACAATAATCAAATTTCTAAATGTGAATAAAAAAAGTCAAATTAAAAAAAAAAGTAAAACAATTTTTTTTTCAATCAGTGAAATAAAGGATTCGTGAAAAAATAAAGCAAATTAATATTTCATGATATTCATAAAATTTGATTTAAAAGATATTAATCAAAGATAAAAGTTTAAGTGAAAGATTTGTCATAAGTGTTTTGTACTTTTTGATATAGCTTGAAATATAAAGATTAATAACAAAATAATATCAACAGCTACCTTAATGAAAACAACATTACAAGGAAATTTTATGCAGAAAAGATCAAGGTCAAAAATTTTAGCAAGATGCTATAATAATCTTTAAATGCAGAAATTAAGAACCATATTAACAGGATAACGTATGTTGCTATAAACATTACAATAAACATATCAAATTTATAATGATGTCATTAAAACTATATTATTAAATGTGTTATTTATTAACTAAAACATATTTAATCTGTGCAAATATGCTTTATAATATATTTAAATAAATATTTCAAATTTCTCACCAAAACATACCTTAAAAATCATGTTAATATCATCTTAACTGTTATTAAATGCATAAATCACCAATATTTAATCTTTACTAATATAATTATGATTATAAAAAACATTGTTATATAAAAAGGCACTTATGCATATCAAGTTATTTTTTTAAATATTACATTGAGATAAATGTATGGTAATCTGAAATACTTATTAATTAAAAGATAATTAAATCCTGTTTAATCACTATAGAACTATCCAAGGTTATAAAATTAAAAATACACAGGAAGATTGGTTAGAAATACAAATGCAGAAAAAAAATTTCAGAAATAGTCAGCAAAAGGTAAGCATTAAATACATACATAATATCTCTATGATTGTTATGTGATTTTTAAAAAAAAATTTTTAAAAATTAACCAATTTTCAAATAGATATTTTTTAATACTTTTTCTTTTATTCAATAGCATAATTTTATTCTTTCAATGCGATACTCAATGTAATTCTTTAAGATAATATAATGAAAGTAAATAGGATGCTTTAAAATAAATTCAAGACAAAATCAGGATATTTTTTAGAATAGTATACATACAGCAGACTTCTTTTAGAAAAGGCAAATGAAAAAAATATACATAACTTGCTTTAATTAAGAGTAATAAAAGCAAATTTTGTGGCAAAAGAATAATAAAATATATTTTTTTAAATACCAAAATTACTTTGCTTAGAACAGAAAGTTTTTAACGGTAATCAGTATAAATTTATCAATAATTAATTACTTTCAAATCAATAAATAGGAAACGTTTATAGTACTATTTTTAGTGTTCTCCCTAAGTGGTTTTTTCTGTACTTTTTATGACCAAAATAATATGAATTTTTAATTACTATTATACGGAAAATTACTTTTGTTTCTAAAATAACATTTTTTTAGTGCCTTTCTTTCTTTTAAATTTTTATTCGCCATATTCAATACAGAATGAAATAGATTTTATTAATGAAGCACATTATAACGCATTGTAACTAACATTAATATTCTTAACGAAAATGCTTAGTTTTCTTTTTTGTTATTCTATCTTCTGAGAAAATATTTACCAGCAGTTTTATAAGCTAAAAGTGTTTAATATTCATTCAAATTAATATGCATTTTGTTTATTTTATTTCATTTTTTTTGTTTATTTATTGTTGATTTTAAGTGAGATTTCTTTTCCTACTCAACAGCTTTAGACATTGAAGTTTTTTATTTATAATTATTTGTTTTTTCAAGAAACATTTGAATTTATTTTTTAGGGTGGGGGGGAAGCAAGCTTTAAGGGATAAGGGAATGCCTCTTTTCAGTGAGCAAACCCCCTGCCCTTTTTTAATCCTAGGGAGAACTCTGCTGTTTCATTAAAAAAAAGATGATTAGTATCAATTAGTAAATATTTCCTTACACAAACTTACAATTAAAATTTGTATAAAAGCTTAATCTTTACTTAATCAAATAATTTTAAAGCATTGTTTCAAAAATCTCAAAATGAAAGCACAATAAACTGCTTAATATTTTGTACAAAACTTAATTTAGTGAAAGATTTCAGAATTTAATGTTTGAATATTATACCATATGATTATGTGATTTGGAATCTATAATTTTTAAAATAGGAATAAAAAGACAAATCAATAATTGTAAAACTGCATAAATTTAAACTACAAGATTTATTACTGCACTAGCTTAAAATAATAAATGAGTATATAATCCCTGAATTCATCACCATAAAAATTTAATTATTAAAAAGTGTTAAATGATCGCATTTTTTTATAATGTATATAAGCATATATGAAAGACTGAAAAAGGTTGAAACAATATTGTAAGGTTATATGCTTGAATATTTATATAATTAGTAGATATTCTTTAAATTGGAATGCTTGAATTATGCTATTTTTACACACATTATTAAAATAAAAATATGTTGGAACAAAAGTTTAAATTTTTTGATTCTTCAAATCTGTTTATTTTTAAAAATCCACATTTGTATTCTTGGAAAATGTTCTGAATAGACACAAAAAATCAGGAATATCAAGACAAAAAGTTAAACATCAAGACAAAATATTTTTCTATTAAGAATAACAGGACAATTATGAACTCTGAATAATATAATTTTAGAGGCTTTATTTAAGCTATCATTATCATTTTATATCAGATATATTGTGAAATTTATCATGATGATAGAATTAGCCAACATTCTTGCTATAACAATTTCAAGTCAAATAGTTTCAAATATCTTGTAACCAACTTTATACAATATACTGAAAAATAGGCATAATATAGGATAAACTCATTACAAATATTACAATATACTGAAAAATAGAAATCAAAAAGTTATATTTACTCCAAATACTGTTGCCTCAGTATCATCTCTCTTCAATTTCCTAAGAGGAAGAAAACATTCAAATTATGAAAAGCCCACAATAAAGAATTATACATGCATTAGAATCTTGAAATTCTGTCAAGAAACACTGAATTTTTAACCAGTAACAAAACTGTACCAGTACACAATAAACACTGTACCAGTAACAAAATTTGGGACAATATAGGTTGACCTCATGTAATGAAATATGTTGTTGTTCAGAGGCTGCCTTCTGAAAATGTATCTATTGAACTTATCTATTTATCAATTATCTGTGTTTAAAATTAGTTGACCTCATGTAATCAAACAGGTCCCTTGTTCAGAGGCTGCCTTCTGAAAATTTAAACTTTCTGGTTTCAGTCATATTTCCACTCATGCATTATTAACAGAGATGCCAACTTGAAAATTATGATTTCAGTAATAATCACACATAACTTATAATGATTTTCAGTAATCCTCAGTAATAATAAAGTTTTACCTCATAATTTTAGTATTAAAGATTTAATGTTTATTTTATACTATAAATTAAAAATTAATAAGAATTAATTCATTATAAATATTATATTCATATATTTCAATAATTCATATTCCAAAACCGTTCTGTTTAAAAAAAGATAAAATCTGAGTTTAAGATTCACCTAAAAAGGTGCATACATACATACTTGTATAATAAGAAACTGAAACTTCAATAATTTTTTTTATTTATCTGTTATATGTAAATCTAATTTAGTACTTTGCTTTGCAGCTCTGATCTCAGCATCAGAAAATTTCCTTTCAAAACACAATTTTTTGTTTGTCAACGCTTTTGTTTTTTCTATAAGAAGAGAAGACAAAGTTTCAGTTCCTAAATTAGGTCTGAAATCGTTTTGGTTTTTGCGAACAATGCTGAATACCCGCTCTGTGTAGGCATTGCTGTGTGGTACTAAAAGTACTAGTAGCATTAACTTTGGCAAAACAGCAAATTTTTTTACGCCTGATCCATCAGTTAATTTAGAAATTTCGTTCCAGGCACAATCCATTCTTGTCAAATTTATATTCGAAAAATCTTGAAATTGGTAAGATGCAAACTCTTCTTCCAATTTACAATACTCTTCATCCGAAAACATATGCCGGAATCTATCAGCAAAATATAGTACTGATGAAAAAGATACCCCTGTCTTTAAATGGATGTTTGCTACTTCTGCGTGCTTTAACATCTCATTTTCTAACGGTAATTTTTTTTTAATGTAGCAACACGCTGTCTTGTAGAACTCCCTGACATCAGCATAAAATTTTTCAAGTTGTTCACTTGAAAATTTTTTCTCTGTTATGTAGGTCCTTGCAAAAATTCCAATGACCAAGTCTTCATTTCTTTTCTGAAACTTTTTACTTTCAAAGTCAATGTCCAAAACTGATGACAAACATTTATCTGATTGTGGCGGTTTAATAAATCTGGATAATAAGTCCATGAAGAGACATGTCAAGTTCTTCTGTAAAACATGAATGGCAGGCGCTTCCTGCTGCAATGTTACATTAACTTTATTAAATAATGGCAAAGTATTGCTTAAAAATAAGCAATAAAGTTTCAGCATGGGATTTTGAATTGTCACCCTCAATGATTCACAATCACTACTTTTAGAACAAAATTCTACTAATGGGTCCCATTGTTCGAGAACTCGATTAATACAATCCAGTAGTGATAGCCACCTTGTACTAACATATTTGAAAATTTTATGTGGTTTCGTGCCAAACAATTCTTGGCACAATTTAAATGAGTGCTTCCTCTTAGAGCTTTTATCCAGGAAATAGTATAACTGAATTAAAAATTGCTCGACATTGACTTGTTTAAGCTCTGCTGTACCTTTCTTTGCTGCCAGATGAATATAATGACAAGAGCAGCCTTGAATAACAATATTTGGCTGTTCTTTTTTAATGAATGAAACGACACCTTTTAAATGACCTATCATTGTGTTGGTGTTGTCACAAGCAAAGGAAACACAGTTAGACCAAGGTATATTTTTGTTTTGGAACTCCTTGTTTAAGACATCAAATATACCAGCACCAGTATTATCACTGCATGGTAAAATGGAAAATAAAACAGTATCTATTTTACCTGAAGATTCATCAAAATACGAAAGGACAACTGGATAGAGTTTTGTGCTGTTTACATCATTACTTCCATCAGTTGCTAAAGAGAAGGGGCTTTGTTTTAAAATTTGAATCATGTATTCTTGAGAATGTTTTGCCATTGCTTTGATAATTGAAGAAGTTTTAGTTCTTGAAGAACTATATTTCTTAGCAATTTTAGAGTCGGGAAACATATTCTGAAATAATTGGCTTGCATGATCAGAACATGAAATTGGTAAGTTATGCTCTATTATGAACGCTGCAAACAGCATTTCAGCTTTGGTCGCATCTGTATCTTGTGAACTCCGGAAATAAGTGTCAAGTGAACTTGACTGCTCTCGAAGTTTAGAAAGATCTCGATGTTTCTTTGATTGAAAATGACGCCGACAATCATCACGGCCACCATGAGCAATCATAAAATCCGTAGAACACACGGTACAAAACACGTGTCCTTCCGACACTTTTGATTTTATAAAGCACGGCCATTCCACACTATATGCATCACGATAACGTTGCGTTACTTTTGCTTTTTTTGCTGGACGTTCCATTGTATTGAGCGCTAGATAATTCAAATATATTGGCTTTTTTGATCATTAAATCTTCATTAAAAAATAGCGTGACAAAAACGTATGTAATCGTTAGTTTACGTTGACAGTAAGTACCGCTTATTTCTGTGCTGCTGATCGGAAGCGTGACGTCATTCATGCGAGAGCTAGAAGCACTACGTTTAAAAGGAGCATTCTCACTGCATCCAAAAACGCATTTCGGATCACCGTCCTCATCGATGCAATTCAATGAGAATGATTCTTAAAGGGAAAAATTATGGAATAAAAATGAAACTTTTGGATGAGTTAAAAATTATTTTTCCGTAATTTTGGGGGAGTAGCCCGTAATAGCGTAATGTTGTCATAAAATCCGTAATAATTACGGTAAATCCGTAATAGTTGGCATCTCTGTATTAAGAATGAACTACATTTAGTTAACTGTAACACTCAATTAGAATAGTGACCAACTAAAGTTGGCCAATAAAACAGTTTGGGCAGGCCTGTAAGTCCAAGTTAATAATATAATATTTGTTACATTATTTATTTTTCAACCTCCAGCGTTTTAAAGAAAACAGGTGCATTTTTTGCAACAAAAACTTTTTTTTTAAAAAAAGGCAAAACTTAAAAAAAAAAATTCTTGATATGATAGCAATTTTATTACTCAGCAAAATACCTTCTATTTCTCCCATAGAAAAGCAGATTAAATTACATAGAAAAGCAGATTAGATTATGAAATAGTCAAACGGGCTTTGCATGTCAAGTAGTGGTTTCTTACTGTTCCAAGTTTAGAGTTTTACAAATTATCAAAAACAGGTTTCTAAAAATAAATATCTAAAAAACAAGGGCTCTATTTGATTCAATATATTTGAATAAGTGTCTCTGACTAAAAAAAAAATCTGTAAAAAAAACAATTTTTTTTTAATTAGAAATAAACTGACAAGTGAGCATTTAGCATCACATCTTATTATTTAAACATAATTGTTGAACTGAAATTTAAGGAAAGTGAAAATTAAGGAACTGCAGTTATATTTATCACTTTTTGTTATAGTTTTTTCACAGAATATGAGTAGCTTTGTATATAGCCTACATTTAATGTTTTACATCCTTTATTAGAACATGTAAATATGTTCGTGAAATAAATTCAGAAAAAAATATATCCTAAATTCTTCATACAAAATAACAGCAAAAATGGAAAAATGCAAAACATAAAATGTCATTAATAAACTGCTAAGATTTAAACTCATACTAAAGGGAAAAAATCTGATTCTTAATAGCAATGCAAATGAAAAAGGTGGAAAGAATTTTAAGGAATGCTCAGTGGCATTACAACTAAAGTCTCAACAAAATATTTTCTGATAAAACCCAATACTGAACAGAGCAATATTATGGACATCAATCTTCTAAGATATACTGAAAATCTCTAAACTACTATATTCACACTTAAAAAAAAAATGATCAAGCGAAAACAGCAACAATAATTTGCAATGATATGACTATCTTATTTAAACTAAAGAAACTCGAAAGATGAATGACAAATTAAATTAATAAATAAAATGCACTAATCTTTATGAATTAGATAAATATATTTTATAGTTTTTAAATTTTATTTGGAGTATATTTATAAATTGAAATTCCTTAATATGTAAATGAATTGTCAATTAATCCAATAAACTATAATAAATTAAATAATTAATAATCCATAATCTGCAAAGCTCTTGGTCATGTACTAAGGAGAACAACAACAAAAAATTCTGAGAAAACTTTTCAAACATACTTAGAGTAGTTATGACTCAGCAAGTCTAGAAAACCATATCCATAAAAGCCCCACGTTTCACCACAGAAAAAGAGAACATCTTCTTTATGACAAATTTCGTTAACTTTAGTAAGGCTTTTTAGAGGAATACCAGTAGCAAAAACTACTGAAAATTCAGCAAAAAATTTAGCATCCTTGGATTCTAATGGGTCTTTGTCAATAACAATAGTCACATTAGGGTTGAGTTCTTGAATTGCTGATTTCGATGCCTCAGCTCTCTATAAAAATAAAGAAATACTGTATAAGGAACAAAATTATAAAATTAACAAATTTTTTCAAAACTCTTTCATATTTAAACGTTATGTCATAATCAAGCGTCACTCATCCATAGGGTTCATGCTATTATTAACATAGCAATTGTCACCAAATGTTCTGCAAATATCATTTTAAAATCATATGCATGTTGACAAATTTGTCTTGAAATATGCTCGTAATTTACAAAATGGTAAGGAAAAATAGTTTTTTGCATTGAAATTTCATGCATTTAAAAAAATTTTTATACTAATTTTACTGTTCTACACACATGAGGGTTTTATGTAGTAACAATGTACAATAAAAAAAATAAGCATAGAAGTTTTTCCCCCCATGCCTACAGAACAGGTTCAGAGCCACCGAAGTCAGTAAAGTTTCTTCTAAAACTCCCCCTCTTGTGATGTCAAAGATGATACTGTGCTTATCCTTCATGTACTAACTGTATAATTGTTAATCAATTAAATAACTTTTGCTCTTTTAAATTTGACTTTATTTAGAATTTTTTGATTAATTTTTAATATAATATTTTGTTGGTTCTTACATTCTATGTTTTCCTCATTTATTTACTTATTTGGTCTCAGAATTTTAATTTGTATGTTGCATCTATTTACTAATATGATTTTAGCTTCTCTTCACATAATTTTAATAAATACTAATTTTCAATCATTATGGGATAATGAGCCTAAGTAGTTTTAGGGTGTTATAGATGGCAATTAATAATTTTAATGTGTACCACAACATGTATTATGTAATAAAATATTATGTACACTGGGTAGGCTGATCAAGTCAAGTTTGATGAAGAAAAAACTACTAAGCATCCATAGGCAGGAAACTTGTATTTACCTAGGAGAAGGTAACTCGCCCAGAGGAGCTCAAACAGAATATAAGATTTAATCCAAGATAGATGCACTATGCATAATTTTTTTTTGTTATAGATAAGTTTATAACATAGGTACTTTATTTGACATAGGAACATCATCAATAACTTTTTCCTGGGTATATGTTTATTATCTACATTTACACCAAAATGTACTACATACTATATCTATTTGAAGAAATTTTTTTTAAATCTAACAAAAGAAAATGGAACACAATAAAATTACAATAGCTGACAGATAAAGTGTTAATGCAATCATTTTATTTATATACAAAGACAGAAATTTAATTTCATTACATTTTATATAAAAATGTTTTAATTAAAATTAACAACAAAAAGCAATTAAAATCACTTTGCATAGGCTATTAAAAAAATGAAATGCCCATCTACACCCGAAAAAATTAACCTCAATAACATAAAAACTGCTTATATATAAGTAATTATGGAATTAATAAAATAAAAAAAATCTTTAAAAAAACACAGGGAAATTTATATTGACTTAAACAGATATCTGTTTCATACTTACTGTATTGCCAGGTGCACTGCCAACAACAAAATATTGAGCTGAGTAATCTAATTCAGACACCTATACAAATAAAAATTCTTTAAATGAAAAATAAAAAACCAGCACAAATATTACTAGCAATTTTAGGTTTCAATTAATACTGAAAACTGCACAATAAACTTAAATTTAAAAAAAAAACTGTTATAACTGCTAAATTTATTACATCTTACATAAAAGAATTAAGGGGGGCAAATGCAATTAAACTCGAGTTGATAAAAATATCCAACATTAGAATAACTTCAACCACAGTCAGAATATTTTATGGTCAGAAGTAAAGTTTTGTAGAATCTAACATTAACTAGTTTAATTTTACTACTGTTCATTAGCATCCTTAAAATAATTTCTAGTAGAAAAATTGATGTTTTCTCAAAAAATAGCATTTAAGAACAACGTTTAAAAAAAAAAAACTTTCCAAAAATCTTAATTTTTTTTAATTTCTAAAAAATTCCTATATATGACGATAGTATTTTAAATTAGTGTCTAAAATAATCTGTTAAGAATTTTAACTATTTATTTTTATTTTAACACAGAACTAAAAAGAAATAATGGATAATTAACAATTTTAACTCAAAAACCAAAAAATCTGATATTGATAGAAAGTTACAGTATTTCAAATGCAATCAAAACAAAATATCAAAAAAATTATATGAAAAAACTTACAGGTGTTTCATCCATAATAGTAACTGATTTCACCCCACTTAAAGTTAAATTCTTCACTACTTCAACACCTAAGCCATTGAGACCAATAATAAGAATTCTAGCTTCTCGTAAACTAAAGAAACAAAAACAAATAATTCATAATCAAAATTACATTTATGAGACATAATATCATGCGACATTTCATAATATGATGTACTTTAATATCAAATTATATTGCCCCACAATAAAATTGACTTTAGTGGATCATCAGGAAAATGTACAAATATTTGGTAAGTGGTTTATGGACAAAGAGCAAAAACTATTTGTAGATATTCAGGAGAAAACAGATTACATATAAAATGCTTTTCTCAGTAAGCTGATCTAAAGACAGTTATTAAAAAACAAATGCGATAAAATCGTAAATACGCCAAAATAAATTAAAATTATGTTTTGATGAATTTATTGGCAAACGATTTTTCCTACTGAAAAGTAAAATATATATTTCCCTCAATTCTAAAAATTATACCAAAAAGACTTTTTCTGGACAAATTCTATATTTTTAATTTGATTACGCTCATTTTCGTTAGATATGTTACTAAACAATTAAAATTATATTAACTCCAAATAATGTAAGCAGCAAGATATTATTTAAGCATGATACAAACTATCATAAAATAAAGATTAACATGTTCATTGCAAAAAATCACACGTTATCCAGTGACGAAATTCTTTTCCCTCATTTGTTATTTTGACGAAATTGTTTTCCTTATTAATTATATTAACTCCAAATAATGTAAGCAACAAGAGATCATTTAAGCATGATACAAACTATCTTAAAATAAAGATTAACACGTTCATTGCTGGATCATACAATATCCCATGACGAAATTCTTTTCCCTCGTTTATGTCAATAAAACAGATATTGTAGCAAGATGCATAATAACATCCCATTATTTTGGTATAAAATTTGGTTTTTTGTTAATCTACCTATATAACTTTTATTAATCTTCAAAGATATATAGTATAACCCCCTGCACTCAGTTAACATGTTAAGCCCCCACCTAAATTTCATTAAAAATATCTCTATGAGAAGTAAGAAAGCCAATTAAACAGAATAAAGCAGAATTAAATTAATTATATAACTTATTTTTTACTGCAATCCTTTTTTTCTGAATGATAACAATCTGATCGCAATAGTAAAAAATAAGTAAGACAGTAAAAATTATTTCATTAAAAAATAAGAATTAAAGAATGCAACATATTGTTTAAAATGAAATATTTTTAATTAAAAAATAGTCGAAATCTAAAAAAAAATCTCAAATGTCATTTCAGGTTTATCCTTATATTACTACTCAGGGGTCTGTCGAGGCCAAATTTACTACTGTTTAGCGGTACCTTCACAAATTCAACTTTAGGAAAAACGGTAGTGTCAGGAAATACTTTTTCTTAAGATTTTATTTTTGTATCCCGTCAGAAACAATAAATCCATATCTTTACCACAATTTTGTGTTGATTTTTTAATATAATTTTTTAATTTTCACAAATTATGTCTTAATTTTTTTTCAAAAGATAGGTACCTCTCAGAAAAACCTAGACAGACCCCAGCTACTGCTATAGCCTAAGAAGGTATCAAAAATTTATCCCAATTTATTCCTATTTCTTTTACTCAAAAACGATTAAAAAATATATATACTTACATTTATCATCACCTTTTTTTTTAATTTATTGCTCATTTTCTTCTCCCCAACTATAAACTAAATTTGGTTTGGATCATTTTATAAAATGGTTCAATTCATAGTACCTAAATTTGTATTCTGATTTGAATTTTTTTAATTCAAAAAAAAATTTATCATATAAAATTGTAAAGATCTGCATTTGGCTAAGGCTTATTAAATTTAATCAGGGGTGATTGTGAGCCCAAGTCAAAATTCCGGAAAATTTCTTGAGTTAAAGAAAAACAACAACAAAAAAAACAGTTTAAATTGAAAAATTAGAAAAAAATTTAAACAAGTTTCTTTTTCCTTTTTCTCAATATTTCTTAGTTTACTTAAAATATATTTAAAATTTTACACATACCTATACCATTTACACATACCTATAACTGGAGAAGTAATTAAAATTTACAAATATGTCTTTCTTTCTTGAGTTTAACAACTATTTACTGATAACAACTATTTACTGATAAAAAAATTTATATTAATCATGAATATAAGCTTATAAAGTATCTCTCTGGCTCACACCTACAAACAAATAAAATAAACTGTGTTTTTAAGTTCCACCTTTGAAAATTTGATGTGACTGACTTCTGTGATCAATGATTTTTCGAAACGTTTGGACCTTCGATCTCCGGAAACTTCCGGATCACTGTTAACAACAAATCCGGATTTTTTCCGGAGCACAATCAGCCCTGATTTAATACTTTTGATATTTGGCTAATTTACTGGCTAATAATAAGTCTTTAGCCTGCGCCCTGTCAGCCCAAGTAAAAGAGAAAACTGGTGCAAAAGATTTAATACTCATCCACGCAGCAAAAGCATTGCTTACAGAAACTACAAGTAAAGCCCTATCCTTAACAGGTCGAGATGCAGTAATCTGTGATGCATCTGCAGACAACTACTCTTTTGACATTGTAGAAGAATCTATGATATCAGAAAGCCAAAGCCATAAGAACCCTCACTCACGGTTAAGGACACTCACCAGGCCCAAAATCAAATTAACATTGGAACACAGAATGTGTGCACAAAGTTCCAAATTGGAAAGACAAGATAGGTCAAAAATGAAATAAGCAACTATTGCACTGAAATATTGGGAGTTGCAGAGTTGAGATTGATTGGCTATAGTGAAATAAAAACAAACGCCAAATAATCATTTCAGGTAATGAAACAAATTACAAAAAATTACTAATTAAAAAACAAAATCAACTATTAAACAGATGTATGGACCAAGTAATGCTGCTGATTTAGAAGTAAAAACTCAAGACAAAGTCCCTGAGCACCATATTCTAACTTTGATGGGAGACATGAATGAAAAAGGGAAGTGAAAATTTGAAGATAAGCGTGCAATTGGATATAAAGCAAGTGCAACAAAATAGTAAACGTTTTGGCGATTGTAGTTGGTGTTACAGATTACGATACGGAAATATCTTCAACACTTTTACTTGAATTTAAAAACTAATAAAAGTAACCTCATACAGAAATCATGCTGATCTAGAAAAATGAGGGCCCTAGACGCAGAACTGTTAGGGGCCCCCTAGCTGTTACTTTAAACCAAATTTACATGTTGCTTAATTTCGAAGAGTTTTTAAATTATTTACAACATAAGTGAATTACGATGTAAAAGTAATTTCAAGGAAATACTTATTTCAATTTTTATTAACTCTTTTTCTTATAAAAAACCTCTTAAAAAAACACAAACAGAATATATTTATAACATTTAGGGAGGAGGCTCTAGGCTTGGGCTATGATAAATCAGGCCTTGAGCTCATTTGACGGTATTCTATCAAGAAATAAATTCTAATAAGTAAAGGAATTTCCAATTAGAAATAAAAGAAACTAAAATCGCTAATACAAAATAGCAACAACGAATAGTAAGAATCATAAAAATTAGTGACACTATTTATACAAAATTTACTTTGGTAAATATTAATTGAACATTTGACGAACTGTAAGCTAAGCTTTAAATATCTCACCGTTTTTGACAGTCCAAACCCCACAAACGAATTTGTCGATCATACAAAGCTGCTTCATCTTCAGTTATTCTTTCATTTAGATTTTCATTAGAATCTAAGCCACGCTTTACACCCATTATTTAAAAGATAACTAGGTAAAGGGGAATAATCTATTTTATTCAACAAACTTGTATTTTTACTATGAGAGACCGGCACAACAAAACAAATTCGATTCCACTAATGCTTAAATTCTTCAAGTAGATTCTTCCATCTTATTGCACGCTTTGACCTAACTCACTAGAAATTATCACCTTATTATGCGCTTTAATCTAACTCACTAGAAATTAAGAATAAGAATAAAGAATAAGCATCTGATGTGTTTAAGATGTTGTTGTAGTTCATTTACGTCGCACTAGAGCTGCACAATGCTATTGGTGACACACTTTTGATCCTCTGCAAAGGGGATGGCATCTCCGCTTCGGTAGCCCGAAGACCTGCACGCGAAGTCGAGCACTTTACGGTAGATTAGTTTAACGAGGATCAACACCGCACACCCTCGGTCCCTACTCAGACTGATCCAAGTGGTCACCCACCCGCACACTGACTGCAGCCAGTGATGCTTGACTTCAGTGATCTGCTGGGAACCATGTCTTGTCGATCAGTCCACTACGGAACCTGATGTCTTTAAGAATAGGCAAGTATTGGTTATCGAAATGGGCTAAACTTGGAGTGTAGCAAAACCCTCTGTCTATGGCAACACTTCGCATGATTTCACCATTAGCGTCTGGAGAGTCATAGAAGAAGGTACGTTAATTTCTGTCTCAATTTCAAAGGCGTTGCGATCGTCTATTGCCTTGAGATGCACATGGATGAAAATTTATATTGCTGATCTGCAACGCAGAAGATTTAAGGTATAATTTATTATTAACTACAATAAAAACACTATTTTAGACCTAAGGGGACTATAATCTCAATCGTTACACGTTTTAAATAAAGATAATTGAAAATTCAAATTGAAAGTCACATACAATTGTACGATGGTTTCAAAGAATTTTCGAATAAATAAAAAAGAGTAGGAGAGTCACACCATTAAAAATATTTATTGTTTACAACTTACGGTTTTCTACTTCTAAAAAAATAAAAGCTTAAAACACCTTCATTTAAACTGGAACAAGGGTCGAATGTTAATGTTTTGATCTATATAAAAATGTGGAAAAAATCGATATTAAAATTTTAAAAAAAACTGTGAAATCGAGAAATAATAATCTTGAGCATGGGTGCAGAAATATATATCGCTTTTCTCCGCGTAAAATTCTGTAGATGCTCTTATTAGCCCATTACGCGCAGCACAGACATATGCATAGATTATTTTTTTTTTCAATTAATACATACTATCAGTCTCTGGCAACCAGCTGATTCGGTTTTTATGCATAAAACCTCAAACATCTCCAGATTTAATAGTCTTTTGGAAGAAAAATATACCAATTTTTAAGATAAAATCATAATTTTGCACTATCACTCTTTTTCAACTCCTCTCTTGCATATGTGACTCTTTCCGCTTTTTAACACAGTGTCTTCCACTTTGTCTTTCAGTGAAAAAAGAAGTGAAAAAATTTATGCAAGTAAGTAAGTTGAGTATTTTTAAAGTTTCTTAATTTTCTCAATTATTACAAAAATAACAATTTAAAAATTCGAGATATTATGTTATTTTAATATTTTTGAAAATGAATGACATAGTTATATTTTAAAAGAAAAGAAAATAAGGTAAATTTTCAACTCGATTCAAATCTAAATTTAACTTTGCAATTATGTAGTGTGGTTTTTTTATTATATAATTTTAGAATAAAAATAATGAATGATAATAGTGAAATTAAAAATTTCTTTAAGATACAACTTTTATAAAATATGTTTTACAAACTAAAAAAAATTCAATTGAGATTTTGATAAAATAAGCTCATTTCTAAAAAAAATTAAGAATGCATTTCAAAATTAAGAACTTAATGATATAAAATTCGTCAGAAAACCAATTGTACGAAGAAAATAAATAAATATCAATAAAAGGTGTGATATAGTATTATTTCTTGAGTAAATTTGAATATTCAAAAAGATCAGCTGAACATAGGATATACTTTGAAGTAAGAGGGAGTAAAATTGATGGTAGCAGAATTCGCTAATATAATTTTTTTTAGTATTTCTGTGTTGTTAAAGTAAATAATGCATGGAAGGACATTCTAAAACTATTGTTCCATGTTTTACTGCTTCTGAGCAGTACAGAAAATTAAGTAAAATTATATCGCCGAATTATTCTACAACCATCCACATCTACCTCTTACTTACTACAAAAAATAAAAAGCAACTGAAGATAATATCAGAAAATACAAAATCTAATGTTATAAAACATCAATACTAAAGCAAAGTAATATTACGGCGAACGCTGCATAATATTAATTTGCATCGAATCTAATATTAAATAATGCAGAGCAAACAACGATCTTTCTAATATTAGAAGTTGTGCAAGATAACGCTAGATTTTACCGATTTTCTGATGTTTTCTAATATTAGGTGATACTTGGAATTATTTCATATAGATTTTACAAAAATGAATAAAGTGGGCAAAATATGTTGGTTTAAAAGAATTTTACCGCTCAATGCTACTATATATTTCATTTTATTTTATTTTATAACCATCGTTGAACACCTGACCCAAATTTTGGATTTCTGACTACTAATGTTTAACTCCGTAGCCTTGTAATTTTGAACCCCTTCTTGAAGACAATGGAAAATATAGAGAGAAAATTTTGCCTTCGTTTAGGACTTTTTGATGTAACTAACCCGCATTTTCGTTTCATGGTGTGGAAAGCCACGAAAATCTCCCACGGTTAACCTGACAAGGGGACTCTAACCCGTGATCCGTCTACCTCTGAGGATTCGTCTACCTCCGTTAGGTCAGCACTGTGGTTGGTGAGGGCTGGGTGTGGAATTCGTGTCGACCAGCCATTGCTGGGGTTCGAACCTGGTTCACCATATTGGAAGACGAAATCTCTATTCTTTGAACATCCACGACTCTACTATATATTTTAACATACTAAAAATAATGGGCCGGGATAGCCTGGTTGGTAGCACGCTGAGCCCATGTCCAAGAAGTCGTTAGCTCAATCCCAGCCGCATGAAGACTCATTGTGTAGTAAATGATGACTGGTTCACGTTAAATCTGTCGGTCACAAAGTCCTCCAAGCTCCCATGACAAATCAATGCCTCTGGGGGGTACTGAATTGGAGATTGATCGTTCTCTGGTTCAGATCAAAATTACGATCTGTGGATAAATGAATGGATGCATGAATGGGTCCATCCTATAAACGGGCTGTGACGTATGTATGGCTAAAGTCGTATTCTTGGCCATAGATGGCGCCACTGAAGAAAAGAAGCGCACCTTCTGCCTTAAATTTGCTCAGTTTTACCGAGCAGGTTTGCTGGTATTGGCAAATGAAGTGGCATTCGAAACAACAACAGTCTAAAAAAGGTGAAAATTATCCTTATAGTTTTTTTAAAACTATGCCAATAAATTCGCTCTTTTATGAAAGCTAACTTTAAACATCCTATTTACTAATTAACGTACTTGCCTATTTGTTCCATACCGAAACAAATTAGTATATTTAAGTTAAATAGTTAAATTCCTTCTTTTATTGGTAATTATTATCGACATTTGCTTGCCAATCACTTCTATTTTTCAAAAATACTTTTGCCTAAACCTTGACGAGATATGAGATTTTGTCATACTCGCAATATCTCTTTATTTTAATTACTCTGCATACTTGAAAATATGTTTCTCTTTATATCACGAAAAATGTGATTAATTCAGTAATTTCGTATAATTATGTAAAACTAAATACGGTTTGTATGATAAGTTATTGAAGAATTATTAAATTTATCGACTAGTTCATAAAATCCCCAATGTAGTAAATTCAGATAATTTTATAGAGTACCGAGGTTTTAGTTCCAAAACAAATAAATATTATTTAATATTTTTGTAATAATTATTCAAGAATCATTATCTTTGCCTCTACGATTAAAATGTTTGCTTGCATGTCTTGTAGGGTGTAGGTCAATAAACATAAGTCGTCTGCAAAGTCAAGATCAGAAAGATATTTAGCAAGGTTCCATCTTATACCCCTATTATTCTCTGATACTCTCTTCATAATCCTTAGAAGGGAGTGTTTTTTTTTCCTTATTCATTTATTTTTTCTTTTTACCTGAAGTGTTCTTTGAATTTCTTACATGGGATATATTAAGAAAAATATCAAAGTAGGATATATCAGTCAAATGTATACAAGACAGTTACTGTTATCATTAAAAAATATAAGTGTTGAGAAATATAGGCCAGGGCAATAAAATGGATTTTTTTAAATCTTATTTACCAAAACACGTGGTCATTGTATGAAAATTACTGGATTAACTGGAACAATAATCCAGTATTCCTGCTATTGTTCCTTGTACATTTGCTCAGTATTTTCGTACTACTGTTTTAATAAGTTAATGGACTATTTCCCAGTATTTCCTACACTGTTGCTTCTTAAGGTTACGTGCCATTGCCCGGTATTCAATAATTTAAGAAAAATATTTTAAATTTTAGTTACCATCAGGATTTTTTTCTATTTCTTAATACGAAAATTTTAGCTATTTTTAAATTATTTGTTTATTTATTACTTTTAATAATAATATCACATTTACCAATTGTAATGAAGTTTATAAATAACCTCTAATAATTATGCACAATCACCCGTTTATTACACTTTTAACGTAAAGTATGTACATTATGAAAAGCTAATTATAGTCTTACCGTTTCGTACACTTTGATAAGATCTTATGAAAGAATCATTAATGCGCATAGAAGATACATATAACTTGCACTGTCATCGGCATGCATAAGTAAAAAAAGTAACAACGCTATTTACCTGTAAATTATTTATTCATCTCTTTTTTAACAATATTTACTAGTAATGATTATTTATCATTCTTTCTTAATATTATTTACTATTATTATTACATTTCTAATTTTTACTAAAAATTAAAGATTTAAAATTAAACGTATTGTTTCTTTATCATATTGTAATAACGAAGCAAAATGTTAACACAAATTAGATATAAGATGTGAATAATTATAAGGGCTAAGGTAGTTACTTGACATTACCTTGATACAAAATTTTTATGACTAAGATACTTAGTTAATGTTTGCAATTATAAAATGGAAAACTTGTTCTATACACATTTTAAAGTT